CTGTTGATGAGATTATACAATGTTACATTTTTCTTGATTCCACATTTGCCAAAAATTAAGATACACGTAATTGTTATGCAAAAGTTTACATTCTAATGATCTTTTATTTACTATTGTAATACTTTACAGATATAATATTCTTGAAGCTTAAGCTCTATTAGAGACAAAAAATATTGGAACCCAATTACAAATTTAAGGAACTTGAACTTTGAAAGGTGTAGAAAAGTTACAGAAAGTATCCTAATTAATTACCAAATGAAAAACCAAAGATATTGATACCTTATAAACCTCAGTTTGAATAGGGTTTGGGCAAAAGATGAAATGGTCATCACTCACTTTGCCATACCCTTGTTTATTCAGAATGTATCCAGCACCTGCTATGTGCAGACTGTAACTCCTCCCCACAGAGAATTTATGGTTTATTGGGGAAAAGGGAGATGTAGCCACTCATTTCAGCACTCTATCATGAGTACTCCAAGAGTATGTACAAGGCATACAATGAGTTTCATAGTATGATTATTAGGAACAAACAAGCAAAACCTGTATGTAGGGCACGGTCGCTTTCTTTCTTATCTTCATAGAACAAGCAAGAGTATATACATACAAAATATGTGATTACAAAATAATATTGGGAAGATATTCATGTTTGACAGTTGATTTCAAACATAGCTGAAATGGAGTGCTATTAGTATAGTAGAGCCTATCTTTATCTATATTCATAATATCTAATATACCCTCACCCATTTGCTGAAAACACTCTGAAATATTTCCATTTAGGAATGCTTGGAGTCCTGCATTATTTATACGAACATGCTTAATGAATTCATGTTGATCCTGTCATCTGTCAAGATTAACATATTAATGTACAGATCTTCAATATGGCAGGGAGTGTGGCTTAATGGAAAGTACAGAGATGTACAGTCAGGTGGAGTCTGTTAAAATCTTGCCTTTTCCAGTTAGGCATGTTACTTAGCCTCTGTGAGTAAGCCTGTTTTCTTGCCTCTAAAAAAACAAAGATATATTCTTTGAAGAATACTGTGTATACTTCATGTTGCTTAGCATTTAAAGCACTCTAGAAAGGTTAAATCCTTGAGCCATTTGCTTTACCTCATTCTCACCCTTTAAATGAAAATCATAGAATTTCTCAGAATAGGAAAAATAACCACAATCATGACCTCTGTTAGCAGGTAATCTTTTTCTGAAACTCAGATGTCAGCTGAGGTCATGATGTTCTTTGGGTTGTAAATAAAATCAGCTCTAATGCTCTAGCTCGTTTCTTTTGGGAATCCCAGAGGCTGCACCAAGATTGCTGGACAGGCTTCACCTATGCCCTCAGGAAATATATGTCAGTTCTGTCTTCAGATTTCTGAAGAATCCACTGGATTCTTGAATCCCTTGGGCTTCATGTGCTATAGTGCTTCTTCCTTTCTGCCAGTATGAGCCAGATGAATGGCATAGCCCTTTCCCCTTGACTTCCCCAATCACCACACACAGGTCTGTGTGTCTAGCAGACTTAAGTGTAGGTCTGGATGCTCCAACAGAGGCAGTTCACATAGCAGCTGTGCTAACGACTTTTAGATACCATGAATGTACAGAGATGTACATTCTGAATTTTAGATACCATGGTTTCTTGCTAGCTACTTTTCTTCACCTATTACAGCTTCCCAACATATTGCTTGACCCCTTTCTGTCCCTCAAGTCCACTTCCAGCTCTGTTTTTGGGGTCTCCTCTTCTGGGTGTTCTCCATCTGTTCCTAAGTTCTCCCCTTTATTATGAGAGCCACTAGCTCATCCTCAACTTCAAGTCAAGTTCTGCTTTTCCTAAGGTGCTATGGGCTTGAGTAAATGGAGTCTTCTCTTCCAGGCTCATATTCACCCTTTGTTCTTCAAAGTGACATTAAGAGACCACCTTCCTTGGAATGGTGGCTTTAACTGCTCCTGATAACTGGCAGAGGTCTTACTGTTTCAGTCATTTTTGTTGTTGTTGTTTTAAATCCCTCCCTCACGCAGCTTTATAAGAGGAAGAGAGCATAGAAAAGGTTTATTTCCTCTCTGATATAAATTAAATCACTCTCTTAGGGGGAAGAGAATAGCTTAATCAATTTTGGTTTTAATAACTTTTTTCCTTCTAGATACAAATCCTTAAACCCACCTTTTCTTATATTAGGTTTTTTTGTTTGTTTGTTTTTTGTTTGTTGGTTTTTTAGTTTGAGAAATCACTGAATTCTTATTAGGCTTTGTTTCCTTATCTACAAAATTGAGAGATTGGATTAGGTGATCTCTAAGGCTCCTTATTTGTTTAAAATTGCATAATTCTTAAAAAGAAAAAAATTGCATAATTCTTTCAGTATAATTACTTATATGTATTTTTTTTCTCTAGCAGTTATATAGATGGCTATCAGTTATCAGTTACTAAAAAACCTGTCATGGTTTTTCTTATTTTGAAGTGAACTGATGAATCAGAACTCTGATATCATTTTTATTTCATTCTCCCTTCCCCAACTTTTCAGTCTCTAAAAAATGTAGGTTTTGGAATCATAGACTGTTAATTTGAGACCTAAATGTATCACTCATAGATGTTCATTTGAGAAACATTATCTAAGATTTTTGCCCTTACTTTTTTTTTTTAATGTAAAAGCTAATGGTAATGACAATGACCTCATGGAATTGTAAGAAATAAATGAGATTATTTATGTGAAAAGAATTTGTAGATTGTAAGGCACCATCAAATGTGAATTAATTCGGAGGAGGGAGGAATAGAAACTGAGAAAGAAGAGTATAGATAAGTTCTGTGGCATGCTTTGCATCTTTTAGTAATGGAAGAAACGTGACCCAAATTGCCACAAAAGTGATCATTGGTGTTGAACCTTCTTCCTGTCTTAAACATTGATAGTGTACCACCTTTAGGGCAGGTGTTGGTTAGTTTAACTTACATATAGTGCACAGCACAAAACTGCCTACTTAAATCCATGTATTGTTTTTAATTGATATGAAGGTATCTGGAGAATACACAGATACACTAATTTCTTTTCACTGTTTGAAAGTTAAGCCCTATCAACAAGGTCCAGACACTATAGGGTTGCCACATTGTTTTCTATTTCATGCATATTCTTATTAGATTCTACTGCTATTGAATTTCATGCAATTTTAAACTAGAAGAAACTGAGTTTCAAGAACAGTTGTTGGAGAAAGGAATCAAATTTTAAAGTTTTGACTCAATGCAAGACAATGTTGCCCAACCCCTAAGTGCTTCCTGTCATTGACACTCTATCGCACTGCTCAAAGTGATGATGGTCAATTGCCTTTCTCTCCATAAGTCTTTAAATGGCTTTGACCAATACTTGAGGAGCCATTAATCATTGTACTCTTCCAACAGCCTTGCCTGGTGGAGCTCTCACCCAGTTGCTTCAAGTTGTTACTATTCTTGTGCCCAGCCCTATCGCTACCCCCCAACTCTCTGCTAAAACTACTTGCTCCTTTTCTTCTTCCTCCAGGACTCAGGCATTCACCTTTTCATACATAGTGGACAGTTTAATTACTCTTCTTTCTTTTCTAATATGCACATCCTAACTTTCTCTTCAGTGGCTTTTCTTTCACTCATAAAGGTGTTCTAGTCTCTTCAGTTAAACAAAATTTAAAAAGACAAAATTAGAGAATACTATACATTTTTCCTTGGCCTTTCTTCATCTTCCAGGGAGAACTTTTTCTTCCTTCAGCTTCTCTCTTCCCTTCTTCACGTTGTCCAGTCTGGATTCTGCCCTGAGTCAATTAGCATCCTCCAAAGAAGCCAACAGTAAGCCAACTGTGAGACTGTAAGAATTAGAGATGTAAAAGATTTACTGGGGAGGGGGGGAATGGAAGAAAGAGTAGGTAGGATGAGCCTTCAGACTGTGACATAAACCTGTCACCTCCAAAAAGAGAAAAGGAAGGAAGGAAGATGGTATAGAGAGAGCCTTGCACTGCCATGCCATTTGAGAAAATCTCAGCCATACCAAAGGGGCACCCCAGAGTAAAGAATGTGCACTAGAGGAGTCCTGAGTTGGGCAGGACTGTCCCAGTTCTGTACCCTCATAGTGCTAACAGCTGGTTTTCTCCAAGGGAGATCAGACACCACACTTCTACTGGCTTTCACAGGTACTTCACTCTGGTGAAGTTACTTTCTCAAAGCTTAAAAATGACTATGAGCCTGGGGTGCCAGGATGGCTCAGTTGGTTAAGCTGCTGACTCTTAATTATAGCTCAGGTCATGATCTCAGGGTCCTGGAATCAAGCCCTTTGTCAGGCTCTGCCCTTAGCGGGGAGTCAGCTTGAGATTCTCTCTCCCTTTCCCTTTGCCCCTGTTTTTCCCCATATTTGTAACTTGATGAGCTACTTCTTATAGACGGGCAAAAATTGTGGTTCACAGAAGTATGCCCCACTACAAATCCATAAATAGTCAATAAAAGTATTGCAACCAAATATCCACTTCCCTTGGACTATGTGGTTACAGTCATTTGCAAGTTTATGCTATTTTTACCAGCAAGTTTATAAAAGCTCTTCAGTGTTCATAACTCCAGAAATTGCCATTCAGTATTACTTTTGAAACAGGCAGAAGATATTTCACAATTTGGAGAACTTAATACCAATATTTTACTCAGTGCTAATATTTCTTTTTGACTGCTTAATATGTGTCAGACACTGTTCGGGTGTTTTAAATATACAAATTCTTTTCATCTGTATCATCACCCTCTGAGATAGATTCTTTTAATACTGACATTTAACCAAAGTGCGATTGAGGTACAGAGAGGTGAAATAAATCTTCCAAGACCACATGGCTAGAAAGTCAGGAAGCCAGGCTTCAATACCGGGCTGTTAGTCTCAGAGCCCCACACAACTACTCCATTTCCTATACCACTAATATCCAGGACACTTTTCTCTATAAAATGGTTAATTGCTAAAGGTTGGCCCAGTATCTCCTTTAAAGCGTACACATCATGCAGCAATTTTTCTTCTGTCTTGCAGGTCCCTGCATTCCTAATCCATGCCATAATGGAGGAACCTGTGAAATAAGTGAAGCGTACAGAGGGGACACATTCATAGGTTACATCTGTAAATGTCCTCGAGGATTTAATGGGATTCACTGTCAGCACAGTAAGTCATCCACAATCATTGTGCTTTTATGAGTATTGATTGCAAAGTATACAAGTCATTATCATTCTTGTTGGTAGTAGACTGATAGAAGCTTCCCACAGCAAAGAACCCTGAGAGTTGGCTAATGCTGCTTCTCTCCCACTGAATACACCACATCTCCCACTGAGGGACTGGACTATGTCTCAATCCTCCCAGTGGTGTATGGGGCTAGTAGTTTTGTGTTTATTCTTTTTCATTATTCTCCAGCTATACTTGCAAAATCTTGCCTTTTATTTTAAATTGCTATATGCCTCTTTCTTTCATATTTGTCCTGCAGCTATACTCTTCAAGTTTCCCAGACATTATTCTGATTAGGTTCAGAGATATAAAAGAAAAGAAAACCGCCCACCTGACCCTATCTATAAGCCAGTTCCCTCCTTCTTACATGTTAGCATTTTTAGTGTGAAAATCTTTGAAAGTTCAACAACTATGTTATCTGCACTTCTCTCTCTTATCCCAGTTCTTATTTATCCTGGGAAGTTAAACAAAATAGGTCTGCTTGTGATGCTGCCTTCTTAGAAGTATGGCTCAACATAAATGCCAAGTGAGTGTTGGAGGTCCTTAACTGCTGAAGAGGGTAGAGCAGGGAGGCCACCATGGACAGTACGCTATCAGGGCAGGCTCTTATGGAGGCTGTCACATGGTAGCTGAGTCTTGAAGGAGGGAGATGATTTTGATCAGAAGGAGGGGAACAGGGGCGCCTGGGTGGCTCCGTCATTAAGTATCTGCCTTCAGCTCAGGTCATGATCCCAGAGTCCTGGGATCAAGCCCTGCATCGGGCTCCCTGCTCCGGGGGAAGCCTGCTTCTCCCTCTCCCACTCCCCCTGCTTGTGTTCCCTCTCTCGCTCTCTCTCTCTCTGTCAAATAAATAAGTAAAATCTTAAAAGAAAAAAAGGAGGGGAACAGAGGAATGGCACATGGTAGGAAGAGTGGGGAATGAATATATGAGTTCTAAATAATGGACTGATGGTTAAGACCAAAGTTGGATGTGTCAGCCAGAGCCAGATTTCCAACCGCCAGCAAAAAACAGAGTACCTCCTGGCTCTGAGATGATGGGGGCATAATGTACTTTTGTATTTTTCTGGAGCCTTCTGTAACTGGGAATTTGTAAAATTTCTGTAGAAGCCTGTTATAATGGCATTTATGCTCCTTAAAATAGGCACGTAAACTGCTTGTAATTATCTCTAAGAGCTCAGATCGCCCACAAGGATCTGAGTGGCTACTGATTTTTCTCAGACTGGGGCCTAAGTTGCCAAGGCTGATTCTCCCTCATTGTGGCATCATTGCTCAGCTTTCACACACAAACACCTCAGAACATCCCCAAGCAAATAGACATGGGAGCCCAAAATCTTGGCTGCCTTGATATTCACTTAAACCCATGAAGAGAATATTTCTATCCTTATGTATTTACAAATCCTCGTGATATGGTGTCAGATCGGTGCCCAGAGGAAGAGAGTCTGGCCACCCAGTTGAGTACCTTAATTCAGAGCCACTTGCATCCAATACACACATACACTTACAGAGGAATACCCCCCTTGAGGTGAGAATAGAATTTTCATAATGGGATGCTGTCCAAAGTTCTGAGGCAGGAATTTCTCCCAAGGTCAGATCTTCCTAAATTTTTCTTTCCTAAGCTGCAGGGCTCTAAGAGGAGAGAGTAAGAGTATACAAAGATTCAAACTGTTAGAAATCCTTAGAAGGACAGTATTTAAAAGGCATGTGTAGACCCTAATGTCACTTAAATATTTTATATTGATTAATTCTCTAACCCTAATCTACTGCCAATGTCAGTGTGGAGTTGGGGCTAGTCCTTAAACCAGAGGTCGAGAAACTCCAAATCCGAGTTCCAACTAATAATATCTGTACAATGTTACAACATTATTTTCACATCTCTGGGCCTTGTTTTCTTCATATTGTGAAGAAACATTTAGTTTCCATTATCTTTAATAGTTTAGAAGTCCCATTGAAGACATCTAGTCATCATTTGATTATCCCCGTATAAGGGAGGTTGCTCTGGACAGGGTCCTGGGGAGAGGTGTCCACCTGCCTCTGACTCCCACATGTGGTTAGCTATGAATTCTCTCAAGAGAACCATCAGGTTTGGAAAAATAGAACAAACCATTCTTGGCCCCACTCCCATAGTGGAACATCCAAGTCTTTTCTCTCATACCTTATACCATATTCAAATAAGCTCATTAATCCACATAATTTTGTTGAATTTCAAAGCTTATTTTGAAACACAAAAAAATTCTCTCCCTTACTGCACCTGGTTCCCCACAAGACTTTAAACCCATGTTAGGAATTGCCCTGGGAAGCCTGAGGCTGAGAGATTCAATTCAGAACTGGGATTTGTGGTCTCAACAAACTAGACCCTGTTCTCTGAAGTGCATCATTATCAGAAACAACAGAGAAAGGAAGGAAAACGACTGGATTTGGAATCAGAGACCTAGATTCAGACCTGACCTTTACAGTGATTGGTTAAGTGACCTTGAGCCAGTTGTTTGACCTTTCTGCGACTGAAGACATACAAATCGAGAAATTCAACTAGAGATAGATGGTCTTTGGTTCATACAAGCCAGGAGAGTATTATGGCTAAATGGTTAGCTTGCTCACTGTACAAAGGTTATCAAGCCATTCTCTTTATGATGAAATTGAAAAGGCTTATATATTGGGAAAGCAGATTTAGAAGTTCTTGGAGCCCTGAGAGCTTTTTTAGGTAGGAAAAACAAAAAAGCCTCTCTCTTTCTTTCTTTTTAAACAGCTCTTTAATCCTTTGTAAGAACTGCTAGGTATTTTGGTTAATTTTTCACAATGGAAATAGTTTCATGGCCTGAATATGCTCTAGAACCTTGCTGCCAAAAGTGTGAGGTCATACATGAGCCTTGCCTGGAAGCTTGTTAGAAATGTAGATTATCAGGACCACCTCACACCAGCTAAATCAGAATCAGTTTTTGTTTATTTTTTCCAAAATGATCCCCAGTAGCCTCCCACACACATACTGAAGTTTGAGAAATACTGCACAAGGCTTTCAGTAGCTGAAAGTAATCAGCTTTCAGTTACATAACAATACATTATAGGCAAATTATTTATTATGGTTTTTGCAAATCAAAACTATATTGAAAATCAATGAAATTGAGAAATGTACCAATATAATATGAACATTTCATTTGGAAAAAGGATTGAAAAAAATTCTTCAGGCATCCATATATGGGGGAGGTATTAATTTAGTTCTGTATGGCAGAATGTGAATTAAATATCTTTTGGAATATAGCTAAATAGTTAAAGAATTATAAGTTTTATGATACGGGAATGATAAATACATAATTAATAGATTTATTTTAATAACTATTTTGTCAATATGTTACAAATTAGAAAAAAAATGTTTCCAGCGCCAGCATTAATATTATCTACACATGATTTTTTTTAATTAATAGATTTTAGTTTTTAGGATAGTTTTAGGTTTACAGAGAAATTAAGCAGGGAGTTCCCATTTATCCCTCCACCTGCCTGCATAGTTTCCCCCATTATTAACATTCACATTAATATGATATATTTGTTATAAATGATAAAATGATATTGATGCATTATTTTTATCTAAAGTCCATAGTTTATATTAGGGTTCACTTTTTGTATTATACAACCCTATGGATTTTGAAAAATACATAATATCGTGTATCTACCATAGCCTCATAAATAGTTTCACTGACCTGAAAATCTTCTGTGCTCTGCCTAGTCATCCCTCCTTCCCTTGCCAAATCCCTGGCAACCACTGATTTTTTTTTTATTATCTCTACAGTTTTGCCTTTCCCAGAATGTCATGTAGTTGGAATCCTGCAGTGTATGTGGCTAGAATAATATAGTATGTAGCCCTTTCAGACTAACTTCTTTCCCTTAGCAATATATATTTAAGGTTCCTCCATGTCATTTTATGTCTTGATAGCTTTAAAAAAAACACTGAATAATATTCCAATTTATGGATGTATCACAGTTTGCTTATTCATTCAAGAATACCTTGGTTGTTTCCAATTTTTTGGCAGTTATGAATAACACTGCTATAAACATTTATGTACAGGTTTTTCTTTTGTGTTGTGTGATGTAGTTTTCAACTCACTTGAGTAAATACCTAAAAGTGCAATTGCTGGATCATTTGGTAAGAGGACACCTGAGAGTAAGAAACTTCAAACTGCCTTCCACAGTGGTTGTACCATTTTGCATACTTACCAGCAATGGATGAGAGTTCCAGTTGTTCCATATCCTTACCAGCATTTGTTACTGTAAGGGTTTTGGATTTTAGCCATTACATGTGCATTTTTGATCATGAAAGTAGCAGATGTTGTAATTTTATAAAACTAATAAGGATTCATATTATTTTTATATGGAATTACCAAATTATACATGTTCTTAAAATACCATTAGAATAATGTGAAACACACACAGGTACATATATGTATATGTATGTATATATATATGCATGGGTGTGTGTGTGTGTAAATTATAAGATGTAAATTATAGGATGAATTGAGCACCAAAATTGTCTAAAGTTTAGACTTTTGAAAGGCATTTTTATGTACGCAGTTTTCTTCTGGGAGCTGCATTTTGGGCTGGCTAGAAGTAATCATATTTTATTTGTTGCCTAGAAACAAATTTAATGCCTTAGAGAAGGACAATTTCTTTATTCCCAGAACTCTTTGTCCATGTTACCTCTCAAAGCATTCTGAGCATTCTTCCCTATGTATGCGTAGCTCCCAGCCTTCAATTCCTGCTAAGCACAAATTTTCTTGGTTCCTCTTCCTCAAGGAAGGAGAGCTCATCTAGGTACCCATCAAGCCCTGAAACAAAAAGGATTGGTTTAAAGTAGTAGCCCAGGGGCGCCTGGGTGGCTCAGTCTGTTAAGTGTCTGTCTGCCTTCGGCTCATGTCCTGATCCCAGGGTCCTGGGATCAAGACCCACATTGGGTCTCT